TGATAAAGAAAGACTTAACATAGTGCTAGCTTTTCAAATTTTTTATATTAATTGTTTTTTTAATTCTAATTTAAATTGTCTTGTTACTTGTTTCTTGCATTTTTGCAAAATACTTTTTACTTGAATAATACATTTTGTAAAATTTTAGCCCTTCGAGACATAAACGTACATAATTTTTCAATTTCAAAGAAAGGTTAAACGTCCAATTAATTTTTCAAATTTTTCAAATTCTTTTTTTGGTTCCAATTTAAATTTATCTTAGAATTAGCCAATTACCACGATACTTGTTTCTTGCAATTTTCGCAAAATATTTTTTACTTGAATAATAAATTTTGTAAACTAAATTTCTTATTGCCATTAAATCAACCATCTGGAGCCCATAATACACACTAAGGCATATTTTTCTTTTAATTAACAAACTTCTAATTAACTTATATTCTAATCCTTGAAGACAAAAGTTACTTAATTTCCTGACTTTTCAATTCCATGTTAAGAGAAAGTTAAATTTTTTGGTTCCAATTTAAATTATCTTACAAATAGCCAATTAATATGATACTTGTTTCTTGTATTTTTTTCAAAATACTTTTTACTTGAATAATACTTTTTGTAAACTAAATTTCTTATTTACGTTGAATCAACTTCTCATAAAGGTTCACACCTACGCTAAATTTTCTTTTAATTAACATCCCCCCCCCTGTTGGGCACTCTCAACAGGACAGACAATAGTGACACATCTACACGGAAAACAAACACTTTGAGCCCTGAAGATGATCTCAATAAAGATCGAAACGTCGGCAGGATAAAGAAAATGTTTTTCTGAAACCTATGCTATGTCCGATCGCCAAGTTTTCTAACAAAATTACTCACCAATATTTCTAGTTAGAACCAATTTTTTGTCATTCTAGTTCCCTGGCTTTTTAATTGTGAATAGTATGAAGTATTGTGACGTGGTTCGACCCCTCGTCTGCGACAGAGTAGTTGGACGTTAAGCCCTCCTGTAAGTTAAGAGTTACTTTACTTAAGTTTTACAAACTAACGTTATTTTCTACCCTACAAAACTGATTAATCTGATCTGCATTATACCGGATATATGATAAAATTGCCTTTAAGATAGAAGTAGTCCTTATCCTACCTTTAATCAGTTTTGTATGAATAAAAATAACATTAGTTTGTAAAACCAACTTTACTTACTAGCTAGACTTTTGCTTGCTTTTAAATGATTTTAAAAAAATAATAAGTTAACATAATTTAATTTAGTTTAATACTTTGAACCATCTGGAAAAACCCAATTTGAAACTTAAAAATTAGATTTTCCTCCATTTTTCACGAAAGTTTTAAAAGAAACTAAAGCAAATTAAATTTAAATGAATTGAAATTGCCAAATTGTTTCGTTAGTAAACCTTCCACACGATAAAACATTTTTATTGTACAATACATTATTTATTATGCAATATTTTGTGCAACAATTTTTCAAACTGAAATAATTTAGATTGTAATAAAATAAATTTTATGAATTAGAATGCAGGAATTTGTTCATACAGAACTCTGGTTTAATATTCAGTCAAATTGTTTAAATTCAATTATGACATATCAAATTAAATGACAAAAGTTTTATGGACTTGTTAATCACCGCTTGTCAAATGTGTTGCAAGTCGGCACAAAATTGCTGTATTTGCATAACTCAATGGTGTTAACGCGTTTTTAATTTTTTTATGTCGAATCCTATCCCCAGACAATTAGAAAGTTTATATCCGAACCTGTAATATTAAGTACTTTATATTTAAGTATTCAAAAAATTACACAGGTTCAGTCGTTCAAAATTATATGTTAGATGAATAAAACACACATAATAAAATAACGTAAATAACCAATACTTTTTACTATTTTTACTAAGAAATCTAAGGTGGGGTCGAATATTTAAGATTGATCCACTTTTTTGGTTAACCTCAGAAAAATATGCACTATTTTAGAATTTCGTTTGCAATAGTTTTATGGCAAGTTCTTGATTTTTTTCCCTTTTTTGTTTGAAACTAATAATAAGCAAATTTTACAAATATAGCAACAATTGCCAAATATGTACCTAGAAATAACGAAGGTGGGGTGAGTATGGGTATGAATTTTTCGAAAAGATAGCTTATAAAATTTCTTGTGTTTGAAAAGTTATTTGCCTGTACCCTCTATCACCCCCGAGGAATATCGAATACGTTGGTATAGTGTGAACGAATTTTGGCATGTGATGTATTTATTAGCGTAAATGGCAGGGTTTATCCCCAATTAACACGAGTACTCTGTGGTTGTGTGAATGCTAACCAGGCTATCATGTTTTGATCTGATTTCTGCGTATTTCTGTTATTTCATCCAAAATTGACAAGGCTCTGAGGTACACAGAAGCCACCAATATGATAATGTTGTATATGATAAAAGTGACAGTTGGTTACTGTTATATCTTAAAAGATCATAACTTGGCTGAACAAACAGTAAAAATAAATTAATAGGTTAAAAACGCGCGAATGATAAGAAAAGAAATGCAAAGAGAGGGCTGGCGATGGCATGTGTTCTTTGCCGGCCTTAAAATTTAAAAAACAAAAATCTGACTATAAATTTTTGTTGTTCCAATATGTACTGATAAACTGAACTAATTTTACGATATTTTTGCTAAATGTGAACAAGAGAAAAATAAAATAGAAAATAGCCATTTATGTAATAATCATTAGGACTCATTATAAACATGAAACAAACTAGTCACGAGATTTTAAAAGGTGGATTATTTAAATTATCTTTTTTTAATTCATTTATTTTTATCTATAATTGTACATGTATTATATATAACTAGCAGATTGGACGAGCTTTAAGCGGCCTATAGACGGTCAATATTATTGTACAATATAGATTGCACAATAATTTGACGGTTGCCCCTTAAGGTTCAATAGTAATGTACAAAATTTTGTTTGAAGGCGATATTGAAGTTTGTGCAATATTTTGTGCAACCATGAGCATGCGAACTGTACCACTTGTTGATACTTCACAAACTGACTGATATTGCGCAATAATGCCAACAGACAGTGCAATATTTTCCAGGTTGTACAATATATTTTCAACTTTTCGTCAATCATGCAATGTATTGCACAAACTTTCAATATCGTCTACACACGATCAATTAAATTGTACAACCCAAAATATTGTGCAATAATATTGATCGTCTATGGGCCGCTTTACAGAGAAAGCTCCCCAATGGCAGGCCCTCTGTATTGATAAAATGATATTAATCATTTAAGAGGTCTCTTATCCATATTCTTTCCAGAGTTTACGTAGTTATTGAGGGGAATGGGTCGTATTTGTGTGTTAGTGTGATTTTGTAATTTAGTATGAAAACGTCTGTAACATTTTTGAGAGATGAAAAACTGTTGGCATGTGAAAAACCCTGTGAAATGCTTTGTTTATATAAAAAGGGGCAGAACAACTTGTCTTAAAATTTTGAATTGAAAACTTTGAAATCTTTGAGTATTGGAATATTTGGCCGATTAGTGAACTCGACACCCGTACAAACAAAAAGGTTTGAGTAGGTATGGGTATATATCGAAAGTTTTGATTTTACTGGTAATTTTGATTGTAGATTGAGTAGGTAATAAAGCATTTTAATTCGTTTGTTGTCTGTCTATTTTTTAATCGTGTGTGTGGATTCCAAGTTAGTCTTCTATCAAATTGTAAGTCCTAAATATTTAACTTTGTCGGATTGAGGAACAGGTTCATTGTATAGGGTGTCCCAAAATTAACGCCGCCAAACTTTCATTATTTTTGAAATATTGGTCTGGTTTCAAAAATGGCGGCAAATTCAAATCTTGGGTTAATTTTGGGACATCCTATATAAGTATATGATATGACAAGTCTGAAGTTCAAGACAAGTCAAGGAATGTGAATGTTTCTATATGTTGTGACTTTGAGGGGTTAAACTTTATTTTCCAAAGATTGCTCAGTTTTTCCATTGTTGATATGTCGTTTTGTAACATAAGAGAAGAGTGGTGACACAAATTATCTGAAAGGGGAAATTATATAGAAACATGTGTCACCTAAAAACATCGGATTTGCAACTAACCATTTTCCTATGGGTACAGAATGTTAAAAAATGACCAAAATGGCATTATCCCATTGGATTGAACCCTTTTAGTCAAAAACCACAGACGGCCTTCAAATTTCCATAAAAGCATGAAAGGATTGACGATCTTTTTGATGGACGAGCCGATTTTACATTAAATATTACAGCTGTGCTTTTCAAAATCCTGAAAAAAGAGAGCTTCTCGGATTCTATAGATTTTTATCAATGATTTTTTAATTTTATATTGGTAAGTCGAACCATTTGTCAATTTATCTTTGGTATGATTTATTGCGTGAAAAATCTGTAAAAATTGCCTCTTCGTAGCACTTGCTTGACATTTTTAGACATTTGTTTCTATAATTTCTAGACGTGGTTTTTTACACATTAGCCTCGATTTTCGCCCAAACAAAGTGTAATTAAATATTAAATAAGTTGCGATAGTTAGGTTTGTTGAAAAACAAAATTTTGATTGGTCTAAAACTTTAATCGCAATGATCTGGCAAATTATGAAATAAAAGTACACACTAGTATTATATAAAATTGTTATTTGTTTTATTTTGGTAAATTTTGAATGGGACTGGGTCAATCAATTTGGTTCTCGTTTGGCTAAACAAGTTGAAATTCAATTAAGGAAAAATCTCGTTGTTACGTCGAAGTCCGTGCAGGAATTAAAGTACAAGGATTCGATTTTAATGCAAGTGTTTTATAAATAAAAATTAAATATGGGAACGTGCGTGCGTCCATGTGCGGTTGGACGCGTTTCCAGTCGTAGTAGGCGGTGGGAGACAATTAGGTTGGAAGTATAGACACGGGCCGGTAGCACGAGCCTTCCACCGACGAGAGAGACAGGGATAAAAAACAACGAGAGAGAGGAGAGGAGTGCGAGAGAGAGGGAACGACGAGGCGAGGCTAGCACGTGAGTATGGCAAGAGGCAGCTGTAGCCTGTGGGAACCACGAACACTGCCCAGTTCCCACGGCGATCCCACCTGTCTACCCTATATAAGACTCCGGATCCCCACTTTCGGCATTCAGTCACTCAGTGGCCTCCGTGCTGTGCACATCGAGTTTTTCCAAACACCAAAAGTGCCTTATTGTGTTCTATTTTTTCAAAACACAATGGATACTTACGATTCTCAAATCGACGTGGAGCAGGTCCAACCCATCTCGAGGACTTACCAATACAGAAAGGTAAATGTCAATTTCGAATTAGTTCTGTTTTAGAGTCAGTTCAAAAATTTAATTCAGTGTCATAACTCTTCTACTTTTTATCTGTCTCACATCACAAGAAAACCAGTTGATTAACAGTTTTTTCTTTTTGTTTTTTTTAAAGGTGATGAAACCGATGCTCGAAAGGAAAAGAAGAGCTAGGATTAACCGCTGTTTGGACGAGTTGAAAGAGCTGATGGTGACGGCTCTCCAGAGCGAAGGCGAAAACGTCTCCAAGTTGGAAAAAGCCGACATCCTGGAGTTGACAGTTCAACATCTCCACAAATTGAGGAAGGCGAAGAAACTGTGTCTCACCGGTGGCGAGAAGGAAGACAAGTTCAGGGCCGGCTACACCCACTGTGCCAACGAGGTGAGCCGCTGCCTCGCATCCACCCCCGGCGTCGACGTCCGCCTCGGCACCCAGCTTATGTCTCATCTGGGCCACCGCCTCAACGAGATCGACAGGATGTCCCCGTTGACGGTGAGGATCGCCGAGTCTCCCGCCCCTTCGATCGGGATGACCTCCGCCGGCTCCTCGTCCCCAGGCTACTCGATGCCCCCGACGCCCGCCTCCTCCAGGGGATCCGACTCTCCCGGCTTGGAATACTCTGGCCTCCTGAAAGTCGCCTCTTCCCCCGTCTGGAGGCCCTGGTAGATCTCATCTCGATTCCAGACTCCAAAAGAAGAAAAACCCTTTTGTCTTTCTCTCAGATCGTTTGCTTTAACAAATAACTTTTAAGTCTGATAGCTTTAAGTGGCTAGAGCCATGTGATAAGACTGTGAACTGTGATTCAGTGCCTTTTAATCTCATTAATTTTTAAGGTTCACTTTTTATTAAATATAGTTCTTTTTTAATTTTTTAAAATGTTTTAATTAGAGCTATAATTGTTTTATTTTGAAACGTAGAAAAAGAAGATATTTTCAAAAGATGTTTAATTAATTGAAAGTAAAAAGTTGTTTATGTATTACGAAAGTCTGTGATACAATAAAAATATATTAAGTTTTATTTCTTTACATTAAAACTGCATTATTATTTTACCCTTCAAATATTACTATATTTCAAAGGTTATAGGTTACAAAATTATCAAGCAGTGTTTAACATTTTTATAAATATTTATAAAAAATGAAAAAATTATAAAAATGTAAAAAGTTAACAATGCCGTGATAAACATAGGTTATGGTTATTTAAAGATCATGAGATGCTATCTCCTGTGATGTATTAGAAAAAACATTTTCTTTATCGTGCCAACGTTTTGATCTTTGAGATCCTCTTCAGGGCCTGAGATTTATAAACATTGTTTAAATTATACAAATACATACAATGAATGTAAACAATGTTTATAAATCCCAGGTCCTGAAGATGATTTCAATAAAGATCGAAATTTTGGCACGATAAAGAAAATGTTTTTCTTACCTACATCACACCAGACCCCATCTCTCGATCTTTAAATAATCAGTAATTAACTAAATATTATATACTTCTTATATTTTAAAAACTGTCAATAAATATACAAAAAGGATTAGCATTACAAACATTTTTCGTAGCTGCCAATAGCGACGTGAAAAGTGTTTTTAACTGCACATTTACGTCAGTTGGATAACCAACGAGTGATTGAGTAAATAATTAATCTTAAACTTGGCTATATGTTTTCATTGATATCACAATTCAAAAATACATTAATAAAAGAGCGGGAAACGTTTATTTAAATTTATCATTCATTATCACAGAACATCCTAAATCATCAGTGTTTACAAAACATTATTAAAAATCATAAAAACATCATAAAAACATTATTAAAACAAATCAATAATGTTTATCGTATCTGACATCTTAAGTAACACGGATTTTACAGTGTTGATTTTTTTTTTTAAATTAGCATGATACAAACGTTAATTTTCACAACATACACCTTCCATAATAAAAACACAACAATTAATAAACAACATACTTCTCAAAAAATACTAACATAGAAAACAAAACAATAAATAGTAAGGATGTTTGTTTAAACTACAAATGACGGTTTCTTGATTTAATAATCGAATAAATAAAAGTAGCAAAAAAATATCTACTAATAATAAACTCTATAGAACTGTGCAAAGTTCATTCGATGAATTTTTTAAAATTAATTAATTAATGTTGTACCAAACCAAATCTAAAATCTTTCAAACGAAATTGAGTTAAAAAAATCAAATTGGTCTTTGCCGAACTCTATAAAACGTTTTTCAAAACAAATTGAATTTCTTCGAACCAAATTGAGCTTTTTAAAATCAAATTAACAATTTTCTAACCAAATTGAACATTTTAAAAACAAATATAAAATTTTCCAACCAAATGATCTTTCACAAACCAAATTGAGCTTTTTAAAATTAAATAGACAATTTTCAAACCAAATTGAACATTTTGAAATCAAATATAAAATTTTCCAACCAAATGATCTTTCACAAACCAAATTGAGCTTTTTAAAATTAAATACATAATTTTCAAACCAAATTGAACATTTTGAAATCAAATATAAAATTTTCCAACCAAATTGAATCTTTTTCAAACCAAATTGAGCTTTCTAAATTCAAATAGACAATTTTTCAAACCAAAATGATTATTTTAAAATCAAATATAAAGTTTTCCCACCAAATTGATTTTTCACAAATCAAATTAAGCTTATTAAAATTAAATAGACAATTTTCCAAACGAACTGATCCTTTTTCAAACCAAATTAAACATTTTAAAAATTAAATATAAAATTTTCCAACAAAACTGATTTTTTCAAACCAACTTGAGATTTCTAAAATCAAATAGACAATTTTTCAAACCAAAATGATTATTTTAAAATCAAATATAAAGTTTTCCAACCAAATTGATCTTTCACAGACCAAATTAAGCTTTTTAAAATTAAATAGACAATTTTCCAAACAAACTGATCATTTTTCAAACCAAATTAAACATTTTAAAAATTAAATATAAAATTTTCCAACAAAACTGATTTTTTTCAAACCAACTTGTGATTTCTAAAATCAAGTTGAATATTTTTCTAACATAATAATACTTTTTCAAACCAAATTGAACTTCCTAAAATCAAACACATTTTTTTTAAACCAAATTGATCCTTTTTTAAAAAAATGTGGGCATTTTAATATCAAATAGATATTTTTCCAATGAAATTGTTCCTTTTTCAAAGGAAATGAAGCTTTTTAAAATCAAATAGAAAATTTTTCTAATAAATTGATTCTTTCTCAAAACAAATTAAGATTTTTAAAATCAAATAGAAAATTTTCCAACCAAATTGATTTTTCTCAAACCAAATGGAGCATTTTAACATCAAATAGAACATATTCCAATCAAATTGTTTCCTTTTCAAACCAAATTGAGCTCTTTAAATTGAAATTGAACTTTTGGTACTTTCTTTATTAGAAGGTAGGATATGTTTTGATCATTTTTGTATATTTCACTTCGTTATTAATAATCTTCATTAAGTTCCTATACCTGTCCAAAGAAAAATATAAAAAATATTTATAAAAACTGTTTATATAAAGGACAAGAAAGTAAAAGGCCAAAAAGAACCAAAAATGATTAGTGAATGATACTTTTATATTGTTTGATATACATTTTTGACCAACCCAAAAAGAAAACAAAAACCCTACTGATTTTACAGTAAAGTGCTTGATGTTTCCTTTAATTTTCATATTTTCTTAATTTACTTCTGTTTAAGGGTGGATATTTATCGGGTTGGTGGGAAGGAAAGAAATTGTGAGAACTAACTGGCTACAACTTCGTCCTGGGGCAGGATTGTAATTATTCCAGTCATTCGTGACCCGTGCGGTCGAGGTAGTCGTGTGAAAGAATCCCCTTCCGATCCATCCATCATTTCGTGTTTAATTATTATGCACCTCACCGATAGCTCCTCAATAATTCCCATCATAAACGAACGGCTTTAAAAGCAGTAGTCATTTAAAAATCAAAAAGGACAAAAATCAATAATTGTGGCTCAAACGAAAATAATAACGAAACCGAAATTTCAGTTTTACTACGATTCTGCCTATAAAAGTGCTATGCTTAAGACGTTTGTTTTACGTTTGTTTAAAGAATATTTAAATTTTAAAAACATACGTTACTAAAGTAGGCCAACGCTACTTTTAGGAGAAAATGTCAACCCTGCATTAAATTATAATATTTCATTTTTATTTTTGTAAGTAACAAACTTAAATTATTATAATTACATCGATTATTGAACATTTTGTTTCAAAATTACATAATTATTTCCTAATTTGGTCAGTTCCAGACCAGATTTCCGCTGTCCAATATGATCGAGAGAACCCAATTAGTTCATCACCACATAGACGACATATAAAACGATTTTTAAAATTTATGTTAACATTTTGGCTCTAAGTCACACCAATGATAGATAATGTATCAATATTACGTGCAAGTTCGAACCCAAGATCTTCGGCTTGATACGCCGCTGCTCTACCACTTGAGCTATCGTGACCTCGATCCCTCGTGATACTGACTTTTTTATCTCAACTAAAAACCTTAATTAACTGAAATATATTAATTGGTCAAGCGGACCACGAAAACTTGTGAATTTAATAAGTTAAAATGAAGTTTCATATATAAAATATTACATATTACATATCTTCAGTTCGAAGTAGCAAAAAGGAGGGAAAATTCAGAAGGTGAGGTTGAGACTAACTTTTTTATATCAACTAAAAACCTTAATAAATTGAAAGAATTACATGATTAAACTCGAACAGAGGTACATAACGACATGCATTTTGGAGACTTAACATACCGCCGACAAAAAATTTACCGAATCTTACATTCGAATCGAAAATTACATTTCAGGGAGATAAAATCTGCTAAAATGTAAAATGTCACCTGTAGAAACGACAGGACCACATTTTTAACAGTAGAAAAACTATTTGACAAAAAAAAAAGAAGAATACGAAAATGATATACACACTTCACATTTATCAGAAGTTACAGCTATACATAACCTAAAAAAAATATGAAAGCTGTAGAAACAGTTTAAAAATTATTTCCTAAATATTAAACTCATTGAACATATACGTTTTAAATTTTCCATAACATTTTAATAATTTAACATAAAACATTTTGCAAAATGAAGCGACCATTGTTGTAGCAGTTTTAAAAAAGTTCCACGGTTAGAACAATATTTTTATATTTATTTGTACCGATGTGCTTCAAGTCATACCAACCATGAATTATAAGTAGATTTATATTTATTTAGAAATCGTGAGATGCGGTCTGGTGTGATGTAGGTTTCAGAAAAACATTTTCTTTATCGTGCCAACGTTTCGATCTTTATTGAGATCATCTTCAGGGAAAAGTGTTTGTCTTCTGTGTAATTGTGCCATTCTTGCGTGTCGTGTCGAGGCATCTTGAGCTATCGTGACTTCAGGTGGTAGAGTAGCGGCGTATCAAGCCGAAGATCTTGGGTTCGAATCCCACTCGTGCCATTGACTTTTTTATGTCAACTAAAAACCTTAATTACTTGTAATATTATCAATTGGTCAAGCGGACACGAAATTAGTGAATTTTAATCATAGTTAAGAGTATTAAAATATCAGGTCTGCAAATTATAGAACTCAAATTTCGAATAGTGACCATGAAACTGCAAATAAGAGACCGGGAGTAATGAAGTGCAGAAGAAGAAAAATGGACGATGGTTATACCCGTTTTTACCGGTTTTACAGGCTCCGGATCATACGAAGGAAGAATTGAAAAATGGAGAGAGAGAGCAAAAGTTCATAAGTATATAAAAATACTTCTTTGAAAAGGAAACATCGTTTAAAAAAATGAAAATGTA